AAAGTCGTGTGTGAATTTATTCAAGCCAGGAAAAGCAGGAGGGATAACTTATGGAAATCGTCTTTCCAATTTGATCCAGTGCGACGTTGTGAAAGGAGCGACTCTGTCGTCTCATCTATGTCTAGTTTGTAAGAGAAAGATTGATAGCGCAGAAAAATCCGCCAATAATGTAAAACAGTGGCGTGAAATTGTCAGTCATTCTAATATCTCCCAACCTGTGAACGAAAGGGTTAAGCGTGCTGCCTTGAAATCGCCTGCCAAAACTAAAATGGCGCGTGTCACGTGACTTTATTTACTAAAGATAGCGTGGGCGTTTGATTGACACTCAACTCATTAGTATTCCACCAATCACAGCTACATCTACTTTCTGGATGTGCTCAGTCAAATTGTATAGGAGACAAGCTGGAGTCTCGTGTGGCGATAGCGATAACACCGGGACGAATGGTCTGGGGTAGTTTGCAAATTGGCTGCCTCAATACTTCTGAGACTTGCTGTAAAAACTAACAGTGTCTGTGGACCCGCACTTAAGCTGGGTAGAATGAGAAGTGTCGGAGGTTTTTACTTCAACATTTGTAAAGGACTATACGCAAGGCGGATCATATTACTATTGATAAGGGTTATGACAGACCAATCAAATCATTTTCAATGAAAATGAAAGCTATTTCGAGTAACTTAATAAACGAAAAACATGATAAGTAAATAAGCTCAAACAATTCTGATTTAAATACCGCTGATGTTAAATATAAACTTCAAAATAAAATAATACAATAGTATCAGTGGAAATTCAATTATAAATTGCTTACCATAGTTACAGCAGGTCCCCGTCCATCCATGATAGCAATTGCAGCTCGTTGCGAGGGGGTAGCCATGGCTATGACAACCTGGAGTATTACACGAACGAGTCATCGATCGTGTACTTGAACAAGAAGAACCGCCACACGAAGCACTGGTAATTACATATCGTGTCTTGGATTGTCTTCCACTCGTCCCGCATGCATGGGAGCAAGAGCTCCATGTCGACCAGTTACTGAGTTCACAGTTCCGTCTGGTACATTGTCGGCGTCTGCGTGCCCAAAAAGCAGAACTTTCATGACACAGTGTTAACACTAGCAACACCTGAATCAGGCGAACGGTAAGCATGGTGTCCGCTGCCCGCCAAAACCACATCTGTGAGATTGCTGGACTTGTTTCCCTGTTTGTGGTTCAAGCAGTCAAAAATATACGCATTGATTGGTCGTTTAGTTGATAATTTGCATTTGGCGGTGTGCATGTAGCATTTCCACGGCAATATACATGCAGAAATTGTGTACAATACATCATTTATGGGATCATAAACGAATCATAAACAAAAGTAGTCCAGACAGAGTGTAACAATCAGGTCCATTCGACACCGAACATCCGGGCTTAGTGTTTGGATTGGAACTAGTGATCGTACATACTTCTTTAGCTTGTCTTATTTCTTGCATTCTGTTCAATCCATGATGTTTGTTTTTTTCTTTTCTTGCGAAATACTCTTGTATAAATTTCTTAGTCTCCGTTTTAGTGGAGTATGAGTACAACCATCTGATCACCTCTTTGTTCTCAGTGATTATTAAAATGATTATTAAAGTTTAGCGGGCGCTTTCTTTCTTTTTCATCGTGTACAAAATAGACAGCCATATATAACTGTACATTACATTTTCCTGCACGTCACGCCGACTAGTAACGGAGCGCTTCTTTGTCGTTAAAATGACGTGAAATCGCCAACTGTGTTTGCAAGTACAGTCGTTCATTATCTAGAATACAGTAAAATCTCTCTAACACACAGCCTCTATTGGACGGCTACACATGAAAACGATATCAACGCTGATCTGCACATAATAAATAATCACCCGTATATTGCCGCAATTCTGTAATAACTCATTGAGATTCCCGGTTTACCTATCGTCGTCACAGCGATACAAAGTCCGTTTTTATAATGCCCAAACATGATTCGAACCACGTAAGTGACCATGTTGAATATTTATTGGAAATTTGTATGGAGATTTGGTTGTACTAAGAAAATATTTCCTGTACTAAAGAAGAATATCATTATATTGAATTGTCAGTTAAATAACGCATCCTTTGTTGGCATAGAGAAAAGAGTTTCGTGTTTTAAGCTCATAACTGAGATGATCTATTGCCCCAATGTCTGTGATGATCGGTGCTAGTGGTGTTCAAAGCACGTATTATCATTGAAGCACCGCTGTCCAACGCGACGTATGGAGCTAGCGTAAAATGAGGAAATGGACCATCGCCGAAGCTGGGTAATACCACGAGATTTTGTGCAATCCACGTGACGGGATATACACACGAGCATCAGCGATTATTATATGAAGTGGATTCCATTGTTGAAGTATACGAGTGTACGTCGATGTTTCGACTCCCATTTTTAAAAGTCGGGTCGATATTTTTGACACCCAGTTTTTGGATTTTCAGCCACTTTAGCGAAATTTAGGACATTTGCGGCGAAGAACGCATATGTTTTAGCTAAAAAAGCGCCCTCGGCGTCGATCTTTTTGCACCCCACCCAGAATCGAGTTGATACCCGGGGTTGGATTGTGCAATATATTGCTATTATATTATACCAGCAACATTTTAAATCTAGGTGTGTTGTGCGTTGGTGTTCTTAACTGAATTCGAGTGCAAACTTTATAGCATCAAAAACTAAGTAAAAACGTGTTACAGATATCAATCAACATAACTTTTTTTAAATACAGACGCAGACTAGAGACGCACGTCTGATTACGTTTAGGGTCGACAAATCATCGTGGTTTACGAGCGAACCACTGCAGTCATTTTGTTTTCGGCGTTTGCGTAATTCTGAAAAAAATCTATTATTGCATCTCTGTTGATCCCAAATGTTATTTATTGCAAAATATTGTGTTTTTTCGATTTCAGTTGACTGTGTTTTATTGTGTTTCTAAACACCAAAAAACGTTGCATATCGTCTATTTCACTACAGTCTGTAAAGCATGCTCTCGCCAAATCAGAACATCGTATTCAGGCAACTGAAAAATTCGTATGCAATGCAATTGACGGCGAATTCGAATGCGCTATAAGATCAACCGAATGTAAGGAAGCTGTCAACTCGAACACCAATATTAGTTATCAAGTATGTTCGATAAACAATTTGAGTATGCAGCATGTATTTCATATATTCTATATATATATATATATGAATATATTGAATATAAATTAGAGAGTTCTCATCTAAGAATTTTATTCATGTTACTAAGTATTTGCCGATCAAATTTCATGACTCTTTCAGCAGTGAACTGTCGCTTGCAAATGGTATGCTTTTCTAAGACCTTTCCTATAAGTTGCACTCGCTAAGTGGCAAAGTGTTGCTGTGACGTCAAAATGAGGAAGTGACTCCCAAAAAGCAATAATTGTGACTGGTTGTGTGGTCGTTCGTGATTTGGAATACTTTACGTCATAGAAATTTTTCATCGCTATAGGGCGTTAAATGTGGTGACAGTTTATTTACCCCAGTTCCTAATTTAGAACGATACGTCGTGATTTAGAAATTAGAACTAGTCATTCTTTTCATTTTTTCTTAACTATTGTGTGTGTGTGTTGGGGGGGGGGTCATTATTCGCGCTGAATTTTGGCAAAATAATACAAACGTTTGAGCCAGTAGGATAATATGCACTTCGTTTGAAACTACGAGAGTGTTTTCAATTGTGTGTATGTCCAGACAACTTCGAAGCGTTTTTTGTAAGCGTAGGGTGCAGGTTGTAAATGTTGAAGAATGTGATAGGAAACAGTATTAGCATAAAACAAATAAAATATGATGATAAAATAAATGCGATTACGTAATTTATCGATCCGATATTTGCTATATGCGATCGCTGTCATGGATACGGCTAGATTTCACTGTATTATGGATTTGAGCCATATTCGATTGTAAGATGGCGCCCCCATATAGTAATTAACTGTAAATAAATAGCATTTATATTACTATCACTTGTATGTCAATTTACTCTAGACGGGGTGTGGTATTTTGTATAAAAATACCATCGCTATCTATGTTACACAATTGCTCCACCAACACTACAGTGCTGCTTATTGTCGAGAGAACCAACCAGCAACTATTATATCCGATCAAAATGACGGCTTCCTGAACTAGCATAATCATACATTTACCATGTTGCTGAGTATCCCAAATTCTTTTTAAATGTCTTGTCGGTTTTATCTTTTATTTCCTTGCTTATGCGCGATTTCTAATGTGGCGGGTTTAGAGGATGCACTCGTCAGCTCTAAACCCGGCGTTATTTGCAACGACTGGCCCTCAAACTGATAAATAAATAAGATTTTCACCAAATAGACCCATTTTCAATTCACTACAGGATCCACGTCATACGTGAAATCGAACGTAAAAACAGGACAAACAAAGGTCATTGCGTCGTAGTGGCATCAACACATCGCGTGGGATTATTGATGATTGATGCTGATCGATTTGAAAAGTAAAGATGTCTCAACGCTATAGTCCTCTCCGAAAGTTGGGGACATTGAACAATAAAAAACCAAGTCATTATTTTTACGGCAGACGTTCAAACCGCGTTTTTTCACGCATTACGCGGGATCTCACAGTAACGGAAAATCACTTATTCAAAATGCACATTACCCAGCATCAAATAGCACGTGGTATTAGTTATGTTATTATTTTGTTAAATTTTGTTAAATTTTCCTCATGTACACACTAGAGGGTTAGAAAGTTAGAAATAGGCATATTCATATATGTATTCCAACACAAAGATACTGTACCTGGTGGAGAGCGAAATTCACTTATATAGAACAAACTTAAGACCTGATAATCATTTTCGCCCTCATACTTGTATGTAGAACTAAACAAATCACACTGTATTACCTACTCTATGTGGTGATTTAGTTATACGGTAGTATCGTCGCTTAGGCCGGGATATGGTTGGAACTCCATTCCCACGCATGCGCAGGTGACGCTTGGTTATATTATGAGCAAGTTAAAGTTTTCAACGCTGGCGAATTTTATTGCAGATTTTTTTTTTTTAGTCAATTACAGCGTTTCAGATACGGAAAACAAATGGGCTGTGACCATTAAAACGTCACGTACTGTCGCGTGTAATTTACATTGTCACATGTTATCGGTATGTTGGACTGCTCTGACGCCTTTACTATGAACTACGGTGCGTGTATGTACTAGCAGTCGCCTCTATAACACTTTCTTGATATCATGATACCAGTCAAATTGCAAATCAGGTATAAACCGTTCGGTTAAGGTTTTCGGTACTAGATGACCTTCTAGTTGAAAGATGTTCACACCACGAGTCTTTTTACCATCTCTGTAATAGAAATCATAGAAATGTCTTTTTTACAAGGCACAAGTGAATAAATATACATGTACATATTGTTATTTTTGTTTATTGCTATTTTGTAATAGGGCAGTTGTATTAGAAGTTTATTCCTTATCACAACTTGTATTAATCGCAAACATATTTTGAAAGCGTAATTCGTACAACCAATGTTCCAACAACTATAATAGTGTATAGTACGTAGAGGGGGGGGGCAAGGGTTATTTTCGTTCAACGTAATTGCAATATTTTTTTGTTCGTACAACGTAAATTGAAAAAATAAATTCCGTAATTCTGTAATCACAGGCTAGACGTACAACGTAATCAATCAAATATTTTGTTCGTACACTGTAAAAATGTGTCATTTTTTTCGGTACGTACAATAATTTTCTAGGTTTTCTTTTTTAATTTTCCGTAAAATGTAAAATAATCTTTATTTTCTCTGTAAACTGTAAAAATTAAATTTTCAATATAAAGTGTAAAAACGTCTTTTTTTCCTTGTCAATTGTAAAAAGCCCTTTTTATTTCCCGTAAAACTGTACCAGCTACCCCCTTGCCCCCCCTTTCCCCCCTCTACGTAGGTACCATATACACAGATATTATAATAATAATAATTAAGTTGACCTTTTTGTTGCGTGCATGACTTACCCCTCGGCAGGATAGAGATATATTGCCGATGGGTACGTGTTGGCACGTACACAACCCTTCACAGTATCTTTGTATTTTGGGTGCTCCACTCCTGTCCCTACACAAAATAAAATAGATTAAAACGAACAAGACTGAGTTTGGTTGCGTGGGTTCATTTTACATTATAACTGTGTTGACTAAACAACAAGGCGATTTAAATATTAATCAATCGATTGTTGAAATGAACAGACTAAAATGTAACTCACAGTAAATCAGAATGAGGTTCTTCTCTGGGTAATACTTGTAACCAAGGAGATCGATGAAGTCACGTGCTGACACCAGTCCTTTGAGCAAAGGGGCGGAGACGGAACGTATCACCATCAGATTCTAAAAAAACACGAAAAAATGCACTAAGATCGGAATATTTGAGAATTCTAACATTTCTATTACAGTCGCCGTTCTTGAAAACTTTACCCTCTTATTGAATATGTACACCGTGCTTTTTGTTGTGTTTTAAGAACATGCTGGTAACATGTCTATTTCCTTCAGAGAATCCGGCTACATGTCTTACTTCTCTAATTTGCTCAACACACTCCATTCCACCTTTCAGAGCAGTTTCCCATTTCTCGTGCTGTTTCAGATCCCAGATCAGCTCCAATATCTTCTCTCTAGGAGCGTCCAACTCGTACATTGTCTTGTATCTACAAGGTGGTTAAGAATGCATGGACTTTATGGTCGAGTGCAATAATTGAATGCAGAGGTCCACACGTGGTCATTTTACCACAATTCAAAAAAAAAACAATGTATAAACAAATATTAATATCATACACAAATCTCACTTTAATACATCAAATGTACCATTTTGCTAGTGAATAGATATGACTCATTGAAAAATACAACGTCTATCAGAGGTGTTGGCACCCAGTTATGTGAATTACAATTATAGTATGACTCTGGTACTGAAACTTACACGTTTCCTTTGAAGTCTGACGATGGTTTGTAGACAATTTCCATACCTTTCTGTAAAAGGAAAGGAAAGTATGTCAAGTAACTGAAACAATAGTATTGACGGCTACAGGACAAAACCCAACGATGTCTTGAATTGTTATAATGGTGGGTAGATTTCTATTGGTTGTGGTATCAACAGTTCAGTACGACGTTCGTCAAATTTCCCTCGTAATGTTGTAGCATATGTTTGTCTATGGACGCATTTTATTGGCCATTGCTTTCCGGGTCATCATAATTCTTAAATGTTGTTTAAATATTTTTTTCTCACATTTTAAGGGGGATAACGTACGGAGTAAATCTTTTCAAAACAAATCGGTAAAATGTTTTTAAAAAGTACGGTGTAGTTAATTTTGATTTGCAAAAAACTCCGGATGGCTTTATATGACGTTACTTCCATCGCCTTAATGAGGGTCGCACTGCGCACAGAGATTTGAGTCCAATTCCACCAGAGTTGAACCAAGATTCATCATATTTTAACATAAGTGTCAAGTGAAAACCACGCGCGGCTTTAGGGGGAGGCGCGCCAGCCCCTTCAGCCCGGAAAAAAAATGACAAATCAATTTATTTATTTATTTATTTATTTATTTATTTATTTATTTATTTATTTATTTATTTATTTATTTATTTATTTATTTATTTATTTATTTATTATAAATATTTATTTATTATAAATATTTATTTATTATAAATATTTATTTATTTATTTATTTATTTATTTATTTATTTATTTATTTATTTATGCACTGTCGATTTATTGTGCGAATAGTAGCAGCAGTTACTTGGTACTGATCATGTGGTACGGTTCGGGTCACAGGTCCGTTCATGAATACAAGTGCAAGTACATGTACAAGACTAGCAAGTTAATGCCCACAGCGTCACCAAGCGATAAGAGACTCGCACCGACTGTTTTTTATTGGCTGGTTCCCGTCTCAAGTGTCACCTTGCGGCGTACCAACCACTGGCACAAGTGGCCGGTAACTAGTAACGAATCCGGCATTCTGATTAGTCATCACTTTCCCGTTGCTTGTTCTATTTCCCTTGGTTACCTGACGTCAGCGCTCACGGTCGTGGCCGTTCAGGGGTTTCCTTTTACTTTCGAAGGTTTGGCGAATAAAAAAAAATGTTTTTTTTTTTTGTTTGTTATAAATTTGCACAGAAATGGCGAGAAATGCCAGAAACTTCTCAGATATGTAAGTCTAAGCAGGCAGAATGTATAAGCATGGCTTTATTGTAGTATTACAGACACGTTAAATCAGGGCCGTAGCTAGCTTTTGTTCACAAGCTAATGCAAATGTTTGTTTATTTAGTTGCGTATAAATGTATAAAGGCGTAGAGCTGTGCAGTTGCGCCATAAGTTAATGGCTATGGGGGGGGGGGGGGTATATAATGTGGGTTCTTTCCGTCCGTCCGTACGTCCGGAGCTATATTTCGGACACCCATTGACGGATTTTATTCAAACTTTACATGAAGACAATACATAATGTCTTACATATACGCGTCAAGTTACTTTATGATCAGAAAAAAAATGGCCGACTGGCAGTCATTTTGGATGTAAAATTTGCTATTTCTGATATACCTAAACGTGACCGCAGCAGTTTCTCGGCGATGACTGGGCCGATCTGGATCAAAATTAGTATGATGATCATACATATCGGGTTGTAGGTGAAATTTTTTTTTCGTGATTCGAACAAATATGGCCTACTGGCGGCCATCTTGTTTTTCATGGTACCCATGCTACTTTATCGTGAATGCAATGAATGTTTCTGTTTAAATTTTGTACAAAGATAGTATACCAAGAGATACATCTGCTCCAACATGATTTTTGTGATTCAATTCAATATGGCTAGCTGACGCCCAATTTTCATGTAAAAGCGCTAAATCGTCATTTTTACATGTCCGGAGCTGTTTCTCAGAGATGACTGGGCCGATTCGTATCAAAGTTGGTATGATGATCATACATATTGGGTTATAGTTGCATGTCATATTTTTTCTGTGATTCAAACTAATATGGCTGACTGGTGGCCATTTTGTTTTTCATAATACTCATGCCTAATTTCCCATGAATGCAATGAACATTTCTGTTTAAATTTTGTACAAAGACAGTATACCAATAAATACATCAACATAAACATTATTTTTGTAATTTGATTCAATATGACTGCCCAATGTCCAATTCTCGTGTAAAAGCACTAAATCATATTTTTTTTACAAATCCATCTTCTATTAATGGTTTCAATCTAATCTCAATGACTTCATCGGCATCAAATTGATATGTCAGATCACACAATTTTGGACGGAGACTGTCATTAACAATGACTTGTTAACAATAAAGTCATCTTGATATATTTTATGAATATATACAAAACACGGGATATTACAGTATAAACTTTAATACCTGAAACACTTTTGTTCTATCTTCATATATAAGCAACATTAATGTGCAGGACTGATTAATACAATTGTACAATACACAGTTTATGTTTACAACTTTGGCTATAGCATATTAATTTATCTCCAGTTAGCTTTCCTTGAATAAATCACTTCTGGGGTAGGAATGATGTAAAAAAAAATCAACATTGACAGTTGTGTGCAACGTTTCTTCGGAGCTGACATGGCTTACTTGTCAATCTGAAGTACTTGTAGGTAACGTTTGACCCGATGTGCTGGATGCATGCGTCTTACCTGTACGCGTAAAAAGTGTCAACAAAGTACACGCAACTAGCTTACCATGTTTTATTTCAAATCGTTTACAAACTAAATACGTGGTTGCTCGAAACTAGCCCGCTAGCTACGGCCTTGCGTTTTCAAATTACATAACTCAGTCACGTGCCTTTGGCCCGGAATTCCGGCCCAGTGGAACAATGTGGCGATTACTAGTTACCTGCGTCCCACTTGCCATCATTTCGCAAGGGACGCCGGGAACTGTTTTTTTGTGGCTGACATTCACTATTAAATGTACATAAGACACATGTAGGGACCTATTTTTCACAAATTAATAAATGCATATTGTATCATATGGTCCACATAATACAATAAAACATCATGGTTGTGGAAGAACTGACAGCATTCTAGGATTTTACACACTACTCACAATCATCGTTGACCTATATAATGAGTGGCGATCTTTACATTATATCTCTTTGCTATCATGGATTATATTTGTTGTCGGCCCACTAAATAATTTACATTACATGTGCTTGCCTCAGACACAAGATTGTGCGTTATAATAGGTCACTCGTTATTTTGGGGATGCTAACTCGACTCTATCGACTGGGGTTGTACTTTTGACCTCCCATGACCTTTGACACTCCTTCTTTTACCCCTAAATGCCCTAAGTCAGCATTTTCTAACCAGGGGGCGCATTTACACGTGCCAGAACGTTACTCAAGCGACAATCTGTCGGTTAAATTATGAAATTCTGACAATTCAACACTTAAAAATCGTCATATAAATGCTAAAGTGAGCCTCATTTAAGACTTCTTTATATTTTCCTAAATTGGGGAAAAAAATAAGTTGCAAAAATCAGCCCAGCTCGTACCCAAACATACAATTATGAGTGCCCTCTATTTGTACAATCATTCAGACTATAATAGCCTCAAACAGTATCCAAGGCTTTACATTGGATAGTTGATAACCACACACGTACACACTGAACGTGGTTGTTAATGTGTCATATTTGAACCTGGATCATGTAAAGTAGTTACCCGGATGATACCTACCGATGTTTTCCATGGTTTCCAGTCTGTAGACTCGACGTACGCATTCACCTTGGTGAGAGTCTCCTCCGCTATAGCACTGTAGTCTGCCATGTTACAGCCGAGATTGGAAATGAATTACCAGTGCACACAATCAGATACCACGTTGGACTGACGTGTCACAGGTTAATGTATTCCCCCAAAAGAGATTATTTATTCCAATGCAGCATCGTATCATTAGCGATTAGAAGAGCACGTCTGGATTATGAATGGGGCGAGTTAACTCTGTAATTAGTGTGTGGCACAGACGATACACAATCAGCTTTGGACTTTATAACCATACCACCCGTGCACACGAACACGCTGACACGGTCGTACACGTGGCGTATGTAGGGTGTGCGGACGACAAGTCACGATTCTAGACTACATGTTTTCAATATTTGGTGGGGATTCGGTCAACTTGCCCAATCGCGGCCGTCGCAAAGAATATCACACAACGCATATTTCGCCCATTTTGGAGCGTTTTTGAACACATAAAAAATATAAACACTCGCACGTTTAGTCTTGTTGTGGATGTCTCTCCTAATAATTGAGATATTGCAAACTACCACCCTTTATCTGTTTTACAAACATGAAGTTTATCGTCTATAGACGATGTCCACTACGGTAGGCATATAGGTGACCAATCATGGCAATGTTTCAGATGTCAGAATAATCGATATTAAATATATCACTGTGTATGGGTGCTAGGGTGTACGCTTCACCCCTTTGAGTCATCTCAGTATGGTTCCCTCGATGACGGACTCAGGGTCGACCCGGGAAAGCAACACCATATTCTGCTTGTTTTTTACAAATAAAATAGTCCTTAAGCACAGCGTATTGCATTTCCTGGATTGTATTTTGACCGAGCCCGGGGTTGCCTGTCTTGCCTGTGCATCCAAGTCGAGGTGCGGAAGCGAACAGTAACTTGTGAGGGAGCAACTAGTAGATTTTGCCGGTGAGGTAAAATTTGAAACAACAAACTTAGGTTGATTGTTTTATAAATTAATTTGCTTGTTCAAAAAAACGTAAAAAAATATAAAAAAATCGCTATAATGCAGCTTAGAACCTTAGTTTAATCACAGTTCCTCTCTCCCTCTCTCTATATATATAGGGACTATGGTTTAATAAGACATTGAAGTCAGTGGTTTTGATAGAAACGATGAAAATTTGATTTGAAAGACCGATCGAAGTAAAGAATGATTGATAAGTCGTGGAGGGGAAATACGAACCAAAAAATGTTAAAATTTACCATTGAAACAATCGCATAATGTGTTTTCATTCACGCGTGTTTTGTACAGACCGACCGGACTCACTGGGTCACTATGAAAGACGATGACCTTATAAAAAATACGGGTTTGACCAATAGAAAGTAAAGAAAGGAAAAAAATGCTTTGTTTTGAGATTGATTTTTTTCAGGATGATGTGGCTATAATGGTGTCTTTTCCTCTGTTATACATGTGTGCAATTGTTTTTTTGTTTTTTTGAATATATGCTCAACACAATTTTCTCAGTCACGGTATGATTTCTGAAAAAATCTACCCCGAGTTTTTAATGGACAATCCCTGATAGAATAAATATCGCCGCGTGTATCATACACATCCAAACGTTCAAAATGGTAAAGGGTGTCACGTGATCATAAGTTATGTCAATAATTCGTGGTTCATATTGGTGGCCGCTATTCGTCACGCCTTCTACTGGTTGGCTCAATGCATTCATGTAACAACATGATTTTAACATTATTGGTTGAATGTAAAATGGTCAAATAGAGCGTACTCGCGTACACATTGATAAAACCCAGAACACGAAAAGGGAGTAAAGGTTGTTATGTAAAATCGATTATTTTTTTATCATTATGCGATGGTCGCGATTGGTCACGGATTGTAGTCGGTACGTTAGTCAATGTTAAAATAATCAAGCAGTTAATTATTCAAACTAATTAAACGTAACTAATTATTACTTGAATCTGGGTAGTTGTATCTGCACAAGTAGCTATTTACATAGATTCAGAATGCCACTTTAATGTGTGCAGTGCACTTTAGTTCAAACATCGAGACCTTTCTACTGTAATTGTATAAAACGTGCACAGTCGCAAAAAGTATATAATTTCGTTTGTGCACCGCACCAATTGTCGTTGACCGAGTGTCGCAGTGAAGAAATCGAATCAGGGAACGTCTTTCACAGGTTCCCAGCTGAATTTCACTCACAACAGCGCCCTAAGCGTGCACCCGGAAATTTCGAAAAAAAGCTCATTTTTTATTGTCGACTAACAAGAAATTACTATGCAAGTCTGATAGCTACTAATACCATATATAAAGATGATATTTCAATTGGGCTGAATAAAGTAGGAATGTCTTGTAAATTTTCTATTTCGAACGCCTCTGTTTACACAGCTTGCAATTCGTCGATAAAAGTTTGACGTAGATGGCGCAATGACGCAAGCGACTTAACACGTGAATTGTTTGCATGAAAATATATACTCTCGTATTATTGATTGCGTGCAGAGTTCCTGTTTCTGGAAAATAAAAATACACAACCATCGCAATCAGCAAAATCAGAAAAGTTTGTCCGTTACTAAGCTTCATATGTATGCGAGGCTTATTAATATGCATTTATGACAAATGTAGCCATCTAACTAGGCATATGGACATAATCAAGATATATTCAAGTTTATCACTAACGTAATTGATGCACGGCGCGGTATAAAATAGAATGTATATAGCCTATTCAGTGGTATCCCATCAAAACTCTTCAATGTTACCCACGCACACGCGTGCAATGGTAAAAATGTTTTGAGTAATTATAGAGCAATTCAGTTGTTAGTTTTTTGGGGAAATGACACATACAATCGTCAGTGAAAGCACGTCAGAGAGAGGTTTGACAAAACTGGATTTTAATCGAAGGCGCCCACTAGAGACCTGGATGCAATCCGGCGTCCTTATTTTTTCACTTGCAAGTGCTTTATTAAAGTGCTTAATTTTTCCATAAAGATGGATAAGTAGGTTTATCGGAAACACAATTATATTTTCCCTGGCGGCAGGGACTCATTCGGTATATAGCGGACATTGCGATCAGATCATGCTTCATTTGCACGGTTGTGTGGGCAAATCACTGTTTAACAACACACACATTTCGCGCTTGCGTGGTGGGACGACCATCGCCTTTCAATTATCATAATCATAGACTCGCATCATCGTCGGGTTGTGAGTCGATAGCCTTCACTAAATCGTCGTAACCATTGGTTTGGAATATTGTTAAGGCACGGTCGGTAATCGCCCTAGGCCAGGTATGCCCGTCCAGTTGTAGTATTTGAACACAACGTGACCTTTGTGGCTGCCTGTGAATAATAAGTAATAAAATAAAATTTATAATCACTGTAGAACCAGAAAATAAATAGTCGTCGTTCAAATCAATTACTAGTAGTTTCCCACGCGGTGTGGGTGCGTCGTATAAGGTCCGTGGTTGCGAGAAAGTTGGATGTGTGGCAAACAAACTTTGGAGTGCGAAATCAGGGTGAACAAACTTTGATGCGCCAAATCAGTAAAGGAATCGGTGTCGTAAATGGCAGCAAAATGTCCGCTTGAAACATATAAAGTGTAGTCATTTCAAATCACTGAAAATATTTTCACGTGTATCCAAAACTTTTTTGTTTACATTCAGGTTTTGTTTTGTTTTTTCTATATAGTATATTTGTATCAATACCATGACTGACTCTTAAAATATAGAGATTAAATAATAGCCGACTTCTATTTTAAGTGTGGGCTTTTATCTGTTTCACTAGAGAATTTGCTCATCGTTTACGACTGCAATGGTTCCTTTTCTGATTTGTGGTGAGCACAATTCTGCTGACATGCAAAATATCGAATTTTACTCATCATTTACCGCGATGTGACCTTTGCGTTTTGACCAAGACGTAACAAATGTATGTCAAGCGTGCGTTCTCCTGATATACTTACCCATCTACTGCGTATAAAAACATGGCGGATGGATACGTCACGCCTCGGACACAACCGCGTGTTGGCTTTCGGTAGTCATCGTGTTCCACACCTTTCCCTGTCAGTAATAGTAATAATTGTCATGTGATTAACATAATTAATAATTTTATTCAGGTTAGGCCTCTCTAATTGGTTAATAAATTATGATAATTTTTAAAAATGGTTGTGGCCCGATAACCTATATCGGTATGATAATATATGAACGCCGAAGTAAATTTAGTTTCTCTTGAAGTACTTGTATGTTTGATCTTGTGACAGCGTCATGTTCTTTTCTGTTTTGTCTGGCCAACTGTCAATACTAAATTCAGTATGTGCTGGTTATACTTACAGTATAGTATGAGTAGATTCCGTTCTTGGTAACGTTTGTAACCTATCACGTCGATAAACTCGCGAGGCGATATCAACCCCTTTAAGTAAGGCACGGACACTGTGCGGATTACTTTAAGGTCCTGTAAACAATTGACAAAATATAATATGGGGGTATCTATGTTCGTTTCTGCTACAAATGAAACCCCGAGTCACATACATTGTCCGCTGTACATGTTTTATGCAAATCGGTTCCTGCTTCAGTTTATGTTATAAAATCTATTAATAATTTATCGCACTATATATTAAAATATACTCCTACTGTTTTGAGGTTCATTTCAACAAAATTTCCACCCCTCGGGGCACCAGTAAAAAAATAACAATGGGTATACAAGGCATCCTTTTTGACAAATTCGGGAATCAAATGGAACGTATTTTTGCTGTGTTGTGAAATGTGGTAATGATAGATCCATTTCACCTTGATTTGGATTTGGATTCGTAAATTTATTTTAAAGCGGCGGGGGGGGGGGGGGGTCGTGACCTGCGCATGCGTTAGATCGCCATAGCGTGTCGTTGTTCACAAAAAAGCGTCTACTCATGAGCCTTTGCGTTTTAGCGTGTGTTGTTATCGTCGCTTGGGACTCAAATCCCGCGCGTGCGCAGGTGGCGACCCTCTCACTTTAAGGGGTAGGTTTTGAAAAATTTGGTCGAAAGGGTGGTGATTTTTCACATTTTTACGAACAACATTGTCGTGAAAAGTCGTGCCTAACCTCGTCAATTGTTTCAATACATCCCATTCTATCCACCGACTCGTGCCATTTCATATGTTTTTCCAGGTCCCATATCAAATCAAGTGCTCTCTCCGGTGAGGCTGCTAACTCATATGTCGATCTGTACCTACAGATTAAGGAAAAACACATAATAATTCGTCCCACCACTGACGTCTTCATTTATATTTGAACAATACGGCGCAGATGCATGGGATTTCGAAACAGTAAACATTTGCACAAATGGACTATTTTATTTTATTTTATTACGATTCATTTTCGCATCTTTTTGCTCTATTAATTAATTATAAATAAAAATAAATATATAAACGCTCGTCAACGAAGCAGCAACAACAGATCGTGTACTCATTACAAGCCATAACTTTAACTAAGTTTAGCTTCCGGTGTAATTTCTTCAATTGCTGACAAATTTAGCAGAGCTAGAAGCTAGATGTGCGACACTTACACTTTTCCGTGGAAATCTAAGGAGTCCTTGCATGTGATGGTCAACCCTCTCTACATACAAAAGAAAACAAAGAAAATAATTGTCGTACGACCACGTACGGGTGAGTGTATAAAAGAACTTGATTCATGTTTATAGGGATTTTTTTTTCAAAATAATTTTTTAAAATAAAAAAAAGAAGTCTAACTACCCTGTGTTTCTGATTAGTCTGTTCATGACCCCCGGGTAATGAAAACAAAATCACGAAATTTAGAAATGCCCGACAGTTTCGCTTAAAAAGCTATTGTTTTGTTTTTCTAATTGGAAAATACACTCCAACTTCGAGACCTTCTAACTTAGAATACTAGATTATTATAATGGATATCGTATAAATGTACAATATCTCGCTCCTTTTTGACCCCAGTTCTGACCTATAGTAGGGGTGAATGGCCTGCTTAAACTGTCAGCAAACTAAAATTTAGCTGTATACCCCAATATGAAAGTGAATAAAGCGACATTAGTGGGGTAACCCCTTCTATGGAAATATTCTACTAATTCTAAAATAATAACAATGACGTATACAATCTACCAGCATAATAATAACCTGACTGTCAACACATATACATTCAGCTTTCATTGGATGCATTGCGAGCGTCTACTTCAGGGTCGTCAAATATACTAATAGTTTAAGTGTTTTGTGTTGCGGGACGACCTCGGTTAAGCACGCAGTGCTCTTCGTCCAGTCGTTCAGGTTTGTTTCATTTAGACTTTATTTTGCACACAATTATATTTCAATGACATTTGCAGAGAGGCTTTCCACGAGCAATGCTTGTCCGCTCACAAATGCGGACCGAAAGAAACATATGACGCATCGTCACATGTCTGGTCTGCTCGCTGTGGCATAAACACCTCCGCGTTCTATATATATATATACACACCTTTAAATTATAGTGTCAACACGGCCCAGCATTGTCTACTAATATAGCGCATGTCACGCTGGTGTCAGAAATCATGACATTATGTGAGTGGAGTCAAGCTAAACATGTCCGTCAACAGTCGTGCCGTGTGGTTGCGGAAATGCAAATCCACATACCCCGGGTCTGGTAGGTTACTAATTAGAGTGGTTCTGCCGAATGGGTTCAGTTTGAATTGACTATATAAACGCCGGCTGTAACAGATCAACACTACTTTGCCAGATGAGACCGAATCCTTTGCTGAGTAGACGCATAGAGAGACTCACCGATGTTTTACATGGTTTCCAGCCATCCGATCTCGCATACTCTTCCACTCTGAGCAGCGTATCTTCGGCAATAGACCGGTACTGCGACATTCTAAATGTATAAGTCATCACACCATACTACTTGTTTCACTTTTCCTACCTATACTCATGAATACATTTTGTCACGTGACGTCTGTAGTATACGTATTGATATTATTAAGCGTACATGCGCTGTAAAACACGCACGGGTACCAGATTTAGGTTTCGATTAGGTTTTCGCTGTTAGTCTAGTTGGCCTAAAACTCTAATCTAATAAGAGCCCGAATCTAAATCGAATTAAAAACAAAAGACAGATTAAACGCGTGAACAATATGATTATGTCACGTGATTCCTCGGTACAATCCCGGAACCCCTTTCAAATCTTACGGTTTCTACAGATCTCTGAAGAAAACTGATTTCCACCATGCATGCCTCGACAACGGTGACGATGTTCCCACGCCACCCATACCATATAAATATATATATTGTCATCGTAAACATACTAAGTTTCGTGTTCGATCGAGTATTATATATAAAAAATGTAATTCTCGGATTGTCACTAATAAATTCGATTTCCATTTGTCAACAGGAAATAGAAAATTTAAATTCAAGTGTTCTTGATTTTTGTACACTACGTGTGATATGTCCAATGTGTATCATGCAATACATACGAGTTAAATATTTAATAACATCACGAATTGTATTATGAATCCTGAATATTTATACATGAGTTGATGAAATTACGAGAAAACTGTTAGTATAGTGAGACTATCGGTATAGAATGACCAATTCCTGTTAAAAAATATAAATGATTATCTAACCAGGGTCGGATACAGGATTTTTTTTGGGGAGGGGGTCCAAACTTTAAAGTCGCCAGACTAAGTTAATATAAAATAATCCAACTTTTAACTAAACGTTTGTTTTATAGTTGTTTTTATATGGTGAATATGGATGTATCATCAATTCACGCGGTTTAGCTTCGTTTATAAATTTATTTAACATTATCAAAATACTCAATCTGAGCTACTGTGAAGTGTTTTTTTCAAGTTGATTATGTATAACTCGAGATATACACATAAGACCAAATTGGGGAATTGGATGACATCACTGGATGGCCAATACACAGAAGAGAACATGGTATCTAAGTGTGAAACTATTACACCGTTATAATCCGAGGTCAAAAGAAGAAAGTCCATACTACTTAACGATTGCAAATGGTAACAGTCCACCCAATAATAAATTTGAATCAATGGAAAGTATTTCAGTTAGCTTACAAACTGTATCAACTCGTAAGAAAAATTACTTCATTGAAGAAATAGAAATGTTAAGAGAATAATTATCTCAACCAGACAAGAATAAATAACATTGCGAAAATCAAAGATGATGACATCGTTAACTTAGTAAAAGGGATGTTGCAAATGAATGTTCCCTGAGACTTGCGTAATGATGAAGACAAATTTCAATTTGTAGATTATTACAAATATTTAAAATCAGCAACACAGGGAACACCATGCAAGTGCGAACCTACACTTGACCTGTATTATTGGCCAAACAATTCATAGATGCCCCCTCAAAGTAGACCCGTTTGATATCATCCAATAAAAGAACGCTGCTGTTTTTTCAGCTAATGATCATATCTCACACAATATGATGGTAATAACAATTTCAAAGATACAACAACAGATTTGGCGATACCAGCTACAAATCCAGCAAAACCACAACATAAGCTCATTTACAGTCGAACCATTTTATTTTTAACCACGTTATGGATAATATCCATTGGAACACGAATAATTTGAGACTTGATGCATATACCAATTGGACCTAACTACTATGCAAAGATAACAAAATAACCGAACTCTGAAATTAACAATAGAGGAGAAATTAAATATACCTTTGCCAAATTTCACAAATGTGTATTGTAAATGGTAGAATTTGGGAGGATACACTTGCGCAGGTGGCAACCTTCCCACTGTAAGGGTTAGGTTTTGAAAAAAATTGTCGCGGGGGTGGTGATTTTTGAATTTGGGAGGATACACTTGTTAAAAAAATAGAGTGGTAAATTCATAAATTAATTTGAGGTGATAATTCTAAAAGACTATTCAAAAAGGTTTTGGATAGTGAAAAAAAATTAATGACACGTATCGGTTTAATATGGGAGATGCTCATTACATGGACGTGGATAATTTAATGCCACCACTGTTGACATCATAGGTAACATGTCCCATTTAATGAGTGCTGGTGATTCGTCACCGGATCTCATAAAATCGTCAAAACATAAGACGTTAACATTAACGAAATTAATGTTAAAAACAAGTTAATAAATTAGGTGGAATTATGAAAGCAAATATAAATGTGCGTATATTACAAAGTTAAAAAGACAACAAGGAAAACAATTAAAAAGAAAACACAATGTGAAGAAATGGAACGTTATAAAAACACTATCAGAAAGAGGAAAGGTAATTAAACAAGGTAAAGAATTGTGGAAATAAGCTAAATCACTCAATAAAAAAACACAACAAAAGAAAACACAGGGAAGTGAATAACTACATGAGTACTATAGGAATATCAATTCACTAGATGATCAATTCTGTGATAACATATTTGACGATTAATTCCATATTTGATGTAAAACTTCCATAATTATTGTACACGCTCTGGAAAGCTAAATTGCCAAGTACTTGTTTAAGGAATGGAAGAAATAATTGAACAAATACAATGATCAATATGTCAGCAAAAAACTGAAAACTTTATAGATTTTAGTATTATCTAAAATTAATTACAATCTATAAAATTAAGAGAGCAATTTCTAAATTGTGAATTTTATCAATTTACCAATCGCATAAGGCCTTACAAGCTTATCCCTCCTAACAAAGGGATCTGCAAAGTGTGTGAAAAAAAGTTTGTCGATAAAACGAATGTAAATTTTGCTATGTATCAGTTTAGTGACCGACCATACTGATGTATAACTTTGATATGGCGTCAATAACGAATTATTGTATGTCTTGAACTGATTTCTCAATTGCTTGAGAGTTTTCTGCAGATGGAAAACTGAGTCAAATATCTATAGCATGACGTAATGTTTGGCAGCTGACTTGGATTTGGGACAATTCGAAAAGTTCTGTGTTTCCCGAACTTCTCCTAGTGCAACATTGGCTTATGTGAACCCAGCGTAAAAACACTTTAGTAGTCACGTGCCACCTCATTATTTTACCCTTAAAAGCACAAATAATCATAAGTTGTGGCTGCCTTGTTTTATATGAATAAACTCATTGATCAATTATCCTGGTATTGGGCATGTTGTCACTTTAGATATCTTTAACAGACTATGTAATTTGTAAGCCATCTTGGTTTTAACTAAACTCGTAATTTGTCATACTTCTTGCAGCCAGAGCGATCACAATGTTGTTATAAAATCACTTGACATGGCACTTAATTCACAAAAAAACACGAATTTACTGACAATTTGTATTCACTAAAAACAGCATAAATAATGAAACGTATTTTGTACTCATAGACCAGTCAACTGTTTCACATGTGATTTGTGTGAATCGTCTATGCAATATGTTATACACTACTAAAATCAGTCAATTGACCGACATGTTGAATTTTATGAAAACGGTGTTAATTTAAAACATTCTCTCATTAATCACTTTGCAATATATGATTGACAGTACGTTTATAGAGTATGGTGAGATAATTTTGCCACCCAGCGACCATGATCACATCCATATCATTCAGCTCATGTACTTCATAAAGCGATGGACTAATACATGAACAACAATTCATGTTCATGTCTTCCTTCATGGTGATGTGATCCTAGCAACCATCTTATGCATATAGAACATCATGTTACGTGACACAGTTTGATTCTCAGTTTAATGTGTATGAAAATATATGTTTGCCACATTATTTCATATTTATTGTCACTATTACATTTCACAACTGTAAATGCCCCCACTGTTGACATCACAGGTCATATGTCACATTTCACATCTATAAATGCCACCAATGTTGACATCACAGGTCATATGTCACATTTCACATCTATAAATGCCACCACTGTTGACATTATAGGTAATATGTCACATTTCACATCTATAAATTCCATCACTGTTGACATCATAGGTCGTATGTCACATTTCACATCTATAAATGTCATCACTGTTGACATCACAGGTCATACGTCACATTTCACATCTATAAATGCCACCACTGTTGACATCACAGGTCATATGTCACATTTCACATCTATAAATTCCACCACTGTTGACATCATAGGTCATATGTCACATTTCACATCTATAAATGCCACCACTGTTGACATTATAGGTAATATGTGACATTTCACATCTATAAATTCCACCACTGTTGACATCATAGGTGGTATGTCACATTTCACATCTATAAATGCCGCCACTGTTGACATCATAGGTAATATGTCACATTTCACATCTATAAATGCCGTCACTGTTGACATCACAGGTTATATGTCACATTTCACATCTATAAATGCCACCACTGTTGACATCATAGGTCATATGTCACATTTCACATCTATAAATGCCGCCACTGTTTACATCACAGGTCATATGTCACATTTCACATCTATAAATGCCACCACTGTTGACATCATAGGTAATATGTCACATTTCACATCTATAAATGCCACCACTGTTGACAGCATTTGATTATCATATCAGTTTTGATTTCAATTACAGTTCCTGGTCTTGACTTCTTTCTGTGACTTTGAAAAATGTTTCTCCAGAAACTAAATTCAGTGGATCTTTCACCCTGCTGTGACTTTCTGGTAACAGAAGCTCACTTGCTGGAAATGAAAGCTGCAATAGAATTATAAGTATATAGTTATTTCATAATTTGGTTGGAATAGTAAATTAGTTAATGTTAGAGAAATGAAACTTAAACATGAATGAGATATTCGGTCGCTTCACTCTGATTTCGGGGACCATGGCAACAGATAACAATTACAATTAATTGCCCAAAGAATGTGTGTCCTTTTATACTTCTACATGAAATGTTTTGTTTCAGAAATAAATTGGTCATTTGAATTCTCAATTGTTTAATGCATCTTTGGCAGTTTTGTAATATCGTTATAAACACTGTAAAATTACACCAGCCAGCACATTGGCGTGGTTAAACGCCAGTCAGTGTGCCCGTCCCCAACCTCAACAGTGATTGAAAGTATGAGGCTTAGAATGCCCCCACTACCTGCCATTGAATTTGAAAACTACTCCCCGCCCTCTGTGTGCACTTTTGCGCAAACTGACAATTTTATTGTCAAGAATCAACACATAATGAAAGAGGGGCAATGCGGGATAGCTGGTACAGGTTACAGGAAATAAAAAAAGGCATTTTACGATTTTACATAAAATAAAATGAACGTTCCATTTACAGTAAAAAATAGTTTTTTTACACTTTACAGATAAAGCAAATTCCTAATTACATTTTACATTTTTATAATATATTTGATAAAAAATAAGATCTTTGTACAAATTACGGACAAATAAAATAGCTGATTACATTTTACACCTTGCTCGTGTCTACGAATTTACAATTATTATTTATTTAAATTACGTTATTACGAAAATAAACACAATTAATTACAGCTTACGAAAATACCCCTTGCCGACCCTCATGAAACATATTATTACTTTATATTTGCACGAGATACTTCTCTCCCGTGCTGACCCGTGATTTGGCCAAGTGTTTTCAATCCTCATTGATTCAATGGGGGTCACAGACTGAAAAAAAATATCCCAGTCTCTCGGTCGAGTTCACACGTTGACCCGGCATTGCACTCATACTAGCGCCACCCGGGCCGCGGTTGGGACTGGGGTAGGAGTTACAGTGATTGGCGTATTAAAAGTACGTTAATAACTTCCGGGTTTGTACATACCCTCTCAGTTGCTAACAGCAAAAGTGTCTTGACCTTTGGTGGATCATTACATTCGTAGTCTTCCATCATACTGCAAGGTCCTGTAGGATGTATGCGTTTAGGTTCCATACGCTCTATAATTATCCGACACCTATCGCATGATACCGGACAATACAGCAAAGAGAGTACGATGAACACCTTAACAACAAACTCCATTTTATTGCTTTGTCTTCCAAACATCTACTAATTTGGTCGTTGGGGGCGTGCTTACCAAATCCCGGGACACTTAATTAATGGGAGAAACCTCAACAATGATAACCCTCGCCGTTCCCGTTTTTTTAAGGGGAGCAGTCCAAAACATAAACATAAGCGTTTCAACAAACAGCACGGAATACCAAGAAAGGTTGGTGTTAAATGTCAAATCTGGCCCGAGATGCACGTTTTTTTCGTTCTGATATGGAAAATAATAATACATAAATTAGAATAAATGAATGAGTAGAAATCGGATACACTTAACTATCTGTACGGATTCAACAGTTAGACAGCTTGCAGCCAAAATAAAAAAAAAATCTAAAAAACAATCTTCCAGCAATATAATCATAATTTGAAAATAACAAAAACAACAAAACTTGCTTGAAAACAGAAAAGGTAAAAAGCTAATTTTAACAGAGGGCTCTATGAAAAAAATGTGAGTCCCCCTCTAAAAACGCCCTCTACAGTTCAATATTCTACCCCACAATCCTGTGCAAATCCAATATGGAGTTAACATAATTCTTCCTTATACTGTATGCCTTATACTACTTTCCCAATGTATATGTAGAATGTGTGCATCGATTTCCAACCATATATGCTAATTGACGTCATCCCATCTGCTAGACAAAAGGTGCCCCAACACCTCGAAATTTTTACCTCTATATAATACAGAGAGCCAAAATGCAAAACTGGATAAAATGATGATAAGATGTATAATACTATGGCATGATATATAGTGTAAATACGTACGAGGACCCATCTGGAAGTTACAGCCGAACAAAGATAAATGCCAAGGCGCAGCCCGAATAATGTTATCGTAGGAAAGACTTTATTTTCAGGAGAGCCCGATTACAAGGACTATATAAAATTACTATATATATATTACGGGTAAAATTTTGTACTTTTGAAGCCATTTAGAAAGTTCGGCAATAAATTAATTTTCAAGTGTATTATGCTGTACACGTGTATATAGACGATGATGTTTCGGAATTTGTAGCCATTGTTTTCATAACATTTGCATACTTAAACTGTGACACGTGGACCCCATACGTAAGATCTGCATAATTATCACCTTATGAAAATTAATTATCAAATTCGAAAAATCTACATATAGGTCGAAAGCCAGTAACCGATACGGTGTTCCGGTCACGGTGCTCAAGTTTTTTTTTTTGTCTGAAACAACTCCGGCATATTTTAAGTCAAACACAATGTAGTAATTTTATTTATTCTTAGAACATGTTATTACCAGTAACGCATTGACATCGCAGACAAGGGCAAACTTAGACTATGGAAGGCCAAGTGTTGCAATATTCATTAAAAATATTTATGTGCGAGAATTTAAATTTATATTTATGAATTACATATTTGTATTCATAAAACCTTTATTTATATTCTTAAAACCGTCATTTGTATTTGTATAACTTCCATTTGTATTCGTAAAAACTAAATTTGTATTCATAAAACCTCCATTTGTATTCGTAATGCAAATTTGCATTTGGTTTTGTGAAATTTGCATTTATATTCGTAAAATCTATATTTGTATTTGTAAAAAAAAAATGTGATAAGTGAGCATAGAGGGCGCTATGTATACAATACAAATGTTTATTTGTATTGGTGAAACTTCCATTTATATTAGTCAACCTCTATTTGCGTTCGTTGCATCATGTTTATATGCGCCGAGTGAACGCAGAGGGCACTCTTTGTCATTGACTTCGATTCAACACATTGTAACAACAGCATGGCGGCAAGTGTTAACTCGCATTGGGTGCTTTGCCAAGCAAACGGAAGTGATCCAGTGAATGTGCCTTTGCGGGACGGTGTTTTACACCGTTCCATCCTGGTCTCTCAGTTCCCAGGCGCAACAGGTTTGCGCTATATGATCGAAAATGCTCAAATGGCAATTGCTTATGACGCAATAAATGACAGTTTTTTGGCGCCGGAAGGAGGTTGGGCGAGCAGAACATACACATTTGGATGTCCCTACACATGTTAAAACAGACCTTGATGGGAAAACATATTGATTGTGCCGTTAAACAAGCTTGAAAATCTTTGCTGTTACTTCATGGACGTTTTCTAGGAGTTTATG